TTGTTGTTGTTTGTTTTGTTTTTCCAGCGCTGGGGATGAATGCAAGGCCTTGTGCATTCTAGGCATGTGCTCTACTATTAAGCTACATTCCCAGGCCCACTGATGTGGTTTTGATTCCAAAATACAAAAATAAAAATAAAAAATAAGAGCTGGGGTTGTGGCTCAGTGGTAGAGCACTTGCCTCGCTCATGTGAGGTACTGGGTTTGATCCTCAGCACCACATAAAAATAAATAAAAAAAGATATTCTTTTCATCTACAACTAAAAAATATTAAATAAACAAATAAATAATAAAATTACAGAGCCTTTCCCTTTGTTGCATATGTACTAAATAAAAATCTTTGCTAACAGTACAAATTAGTGTAGACTAAGTTTTGCTGCAACATCAACCTCAATTATTTTATTTTTGTACTGGGGATTGAACCCAGGGGTTCTTTACTAGACTCACATTCTCAGTCTTTTTCATATTTTATTTGAGACAGGGTCTAAGTTGCTGAGGCTGGTCTCAAATTTGCAATCCTTCTGCCTCATCCTCCTTAATCACTAGAATTACAGGCATGCACCAAAAAGCCCAGCTTAATTTCAACATTTCAATGACTTCATATAATGAATCCAGTTTTTATTCTTTCTGTAGCTTTATACCAAGCCAGGTGGAAGTTCAGCTCTGTGTTACCCAAACTTTGGGTCTCAAGCTGGTAGAAGGGTGACCACATAGAATACAGAACACTAATTTTTTAGAGGGAAAGAGAAAATATGTTGGAACTCACTTTTTTTTTTTTTTTTTTGCAGTGCTGGGGGTCAAACCCAGGAACTCACACACACGAGGCAAGTGCTCTACCACTGAACTATATCCCCACACTTTATACTTACTTTGATAGCTTTTACCTGTAACTAACATGAATCACCTTTTCTCTTTTCATTGGCAATAACAAATCATATGGCTACATCTAACTTCATGTGGGTAGAAAAATGCAACCTTACTATAATGGAAGACCAAAAACAAAAAGCAACCAAAAAATACTTGATGTGGGGCTGGGAGTACAGCTGGTAGTAGAACTCTTTCTTGCTTGGCATGTTTGAGGCACTGATTAGATCCCCAGCACTACCTCAGCAAAAGAAGGCAAGTGTCAGCACTCCTTCATAGATCATATTTTCCTGGACAAATACTGTGATGTGACCTCTTTCAAATATGTTAACAATCCTCTTAAGTACCCTTCTTAAAGTTTACCAACCTTTACCTACAAGGTTCACATTCCTTCCCCTACAGAAAAGTCACAATATCTCACATAGTTACTGAAAAGGGTCTTTTTTTTTTTTTTTTTTTTGGTAGTGCTAGGGATTTAACTCAGGTCCTCAGGCAAGGCAAGCACTCTAGCAGCTATGTCCTCAGCCCCTGAAAGAATTCCTAAGATTTTACTTGTGTATAAGGAATTTTATTTTATTTTAATTTTTTTAAAGAGAGAGAGAGAATTTTAATATTTATTATTTTTTAGTTTTCGGAGGACACAGCATCTTTGTTTGTATGTGGTGCTGAGGATCGAACCCCGGCCGCACGCATGCCAGGCGAGCGCGCTACTGCTTGAGCCACATCCCCAACCCAAGGAATTTTAATGTTAAAAATTGGGATATAGTGCTACTAGCCTCTGGCTGGTGACTGTTCTTTCATTTCCTACTGCAGTGTAGTTTTGTTTTCTTTTGTTTTTGTGGTACTTGCGCTTGAACCCAAGGCCTCCTACATGCTAGGCAAGCACTCTATCCCCAGCCCACAAAATGTAATTTTATAAAGGTCTTTTCTTTTTTTGGTACTGGGGATTGAACCCAGAGGTGCTTTACCAATGAGCTACATCCTCAGTTCTTTTTATTTTGTATTATGAGATATGATCTTAAGTTACTTAGGGCCTCACTAAATTGCTGAGGCTGGTTTTGAATTTATAATCCTCCTGCCTCAGTCTTCTGAGTTGCTGGGATTACAGGGTGCACTATCATGCCCAGCTTAAAGGTTTTATTTTCAAATTCTGAAGTGAGTACAGTGGTTTGCACCTGTAATCCCAGCTACTCAGAAGGGTGAGAAAGAATAGTGACTTAAGGGCTGGGATTGTGGCTCAGCGGTAGAGTGCTCCCCTAGCATGGGTGGGACCCAGGTTCTATCCTCAGCACCACATAAAAATAAAGGCATTGTGTTGTGTCCATCTACACCAAAAAAAAAAAAAAAAAAAAGGATAGTAACTTAAGAGTGCTAGCCTGATCAATACGGCGAGACCCTGTCTTAAAATTCTGTCTGTGGGCTTTTATTCAAAATAATGATCATGGAAAGAATCATTTTGGGGCTGGGAATGTGATTCAGAGATAGACTGCTTGCCTAGCATGTGTAAGGCCCTAGGTTCAATCCCCAGTACTAAAAAAAAGAAGAAAAGTCATTGTTTTGCAGAAATACTTGAGGACTTCATAGTTTTTCCAAAGACCTTTTTTATTGTTGTTGTTGTTGTTGAAGACTGAATACAGGAGCTTGCACATGCTAAGCAAGTGCACTATCACTGACCTATGTTCCAGACTATTTTATTTTGAAACAGGTTCTCCCTAAGTTGCCCAGGCTGGCCTCAAACGTGTGATTCTCCTGCCTCAGCCTCTTGAGTAGCTGAGATTACAGGTAAGTGCCATGACACTTGTTTGTTTGTTTGTTTTAGGTGGACACAATATCTTTATTTATTTTTATGTGGTGTTGAGGATCGAAACCAGTGCCTTGCGCATGCCAGGCCAGCACGCTACCACTTGAGCCACATCCCCAGCCCCGTGTTCTCATCTTTTATTCTCTTTTTTAGCTAACTGTAAGATCTTCACTTTTCTCTTTTTAAAAAAAAATGTATACAATTTTTGTCAATTAAAAGATAGGTTTAGAAAATACTGGTTTAAACAAACTTTTTTTTAATATTTATTTTTTGGTTAGACACAATACCTTTATTTTGTTTATTTATTTTTATGTGTTGTTGAGGATCGAATCCAGGGCCTCGCGCATGCTAAGCGAGCGCTCTACCGCTGAGCCACAACCCCAGCCCTAAACAAACTTTTAACAGGACTGTTTCTGTAAGAAACAGATATATCCTCACTTTTCAGTGGCTTTGGGTAGAATTTGTGAATTCTCCAACATCACTTTAATTGTTTCACAGATTTGCAATTTCACTTTGCAGTAGAAATGCATGGAATTGTCCAGTGATGAGAAAAAGATGTCAATAGAGAGGCGGGGGTTATGGCTCAGTGATAGAGCACTTGCCTAGCACATGTAAGGCACTGGTTTGATCCTCAGCACCACGTATATATAAATAAAGGTATTGTGTCCATCTTCAATCAAAAATATTTTTTAAAAAAGATGTCAATAGAATTTTAAGCATCATTTCATGCTACCCTTCACTCCCATGCTCCTCTATACTGTCACACAAATCTTTCTTATGTTTTTCTAACAGTTTCCTCCAAGTTTCAAAGCTTTTCTCCTAAACTGTCCAATTTGCATGGAATACTACTACCACTCTCACCTCCCTTAACTAATCTCTATTCATCTTTTAGATCCCAGCTCATTAAATAATTAGGTTTCTTACCCTATACTTCTTCCAACTATAATTAAACTAATTATGGAATTACTTAAAGTCTGTCTCTTCGGGGCTGGGGCTATAACTCATTGGTAGAGTGCCTGCCAGGCGCATGTGAGGCACTGGGATTTATCTTCAGCACCACATAAAAATAAATAAAGATACTGTGTCCATCTACAATAAAGTCTGTCTCTTCAAGTAGACTCTAAGAACCTGTATGTCTTAGTTATTAGCTACATCCTCAGGGTCTAGCATTGTGCCTAATCCTAACTACCCAATAAATATTTGTTGAATTCAGAGCAATGGTATGACTGGTAAAATGAGTATTATATGGCTAGAGTTTACAGCCAGCTTAGTCATTTGCCAAAGTCCTTCCTAAAATCTGCTTACTGGTGGCCTCTAGAAATATAAATTATTTAAGATAGGGCCTTAGTAGGGACTGGATTGTAGCTCAGTAGTAGTGCTCTTGCCTAGCACGTGTGAGGTACTGGGTTCAATTCTCATCACCACATATAAATAAATAAATAAAAATAAGGTCCATCAACAACTAAAAAAACAAATAAAATAAAAAGATAGGGCCTTGAGCTGGGACTGTAGTTCAGTGGCAAAGCACTTGCCTGGTACATGTGAGGCACTGGGTTCAATCCTTAGCACCACATAAAATAAAGGTATGCTATCCATCTACAATTACAAAAAAAAAAATTACCTTTAAAAAAATTTTTAAAAAAGATAGGGACTTAGATATAGAGCAACAGTCTTTGAGATCCTGCCTCCTTCTGGTAGCCTGTGCACACAATAAGAGAAAAAGTCCCTGTCTGCAGCTTTCATAGTTTTACAAACTGGAATCCTCCAACTTTTTTTTTTTTTTTTTTTTTTTTTGGTACTAGAAATCAAACCCATTGGTGCTTTATGACTGGGCCAAATCCCCAGCCCTTTTTATTTTTTATTTTGAGTCAGGTTCTCATTCAGTTTCCCAGGCTGGCCTCAAACTTGCAATCCTTCTGCCTCAGCTTCCCAAATTGTTGGGATTACAGTGTGTGCCACCACAGTTAGCTTAAACTTCTGAACATACTCTTGGGTTCTTCATATCCCTAAATCTAGGCACTGATCATGGTAGGGAGGTGAGAATTCAAGACCTAGGCCCAATATTCCCTTGAAACCACAGGACAATCTCTGCCCACCTCTCAATCCTGAGGTGACAGATTCTGGGCATTTGTGGTAATTCTAGGGAAGCATGCAGTGCTAAAAACTGCCACCAGATGGCACCACCTGTTATGGAATACAGCTGCCTGCAAATCCCTCCAGTACCAAGAAAGATTCAAGGGCAGGTCACATTCAGCAGCCCTAGGTCTTGTCAACCCTGAGAGAAACAGCTTCCATCCCAGGCCTGACCACACAAGTAAGTCAAGCAAGCAGCGTGTATGGTCCAATGATTTTATTAACTCCCTTTTTTTGTGGGGTGGCCAGCAGAACCTCAGTTGGAGAGCTGGAAGGGATGCCAGGAAACTGTGGTCTCAGTATGGGTCATTAAAGGGATACAAAGAGTGCCCAGCATCTCTTGGGACCAACTTCCCATCCACCTGGAAAGAGAGACATACAGATGACTCCAATAGCAAGCTTTGCAATCCTAAGACCCAGGGCATTCCCACCCAAACTTTTCTATATAACCTCACCAAGTAAGAAGCCCTACACCAGATGGTAGTGCTTAGGACCCCAGCCACAGTATCAACAGCATTCCAGCACCAAACCCATAATAACTGACTTTGTCCCTAAAGCCTCTGCAATCTCAACTGAGATCAAGTGCCCAGAATCTATTTACTTCCCTATGTACAACTGACTTCAATTCCACCCCAATCCCTTTAATGAAGTCCAGAATGCTTTCTTGGTTTCTCTGATGTCATTTCACTGAAATGATATAATTTGACTGGCTTGGAGAAGTTAAATAACTTGACATCAGGAAGCCTGGGATTCACAGGCAGTATGCCTTATCCCTCAGCCATACTAAATTTCTGACCTCAAGTAAAACAAGAAATCATTTCATCCAGGACAACAATCTTACTGACAATATCCTGACCCTCCTCCTAAAATTCACCCAAATCTCCCATTCCCTCTGGGACTCTGGGAGGTGATACATCCTTACCGTAATCATGGGCACAATATATCTCCAATTTTTGTTCAGTGTACCTAGCTGTGTCATCTCTTCTGGGCTAAAGGCGAAGTCAAACACCTGGAGGACAGAAAAGGCAGCCTTGTGAATGGAAGTGAAGTTCCACAACACTGCCTTCTTAGCCAGGCAGAGCTAGGGCCAGAATGTGTCCTGATGAGTAAAAGAAAATAGAACCCATGACCAAGTACCTGGATGTTCTGAAGGATACGAGAAGGAGTGATACTTTTAGGGATGCAGATCACTTTCCGCTGAACCTGCCACCTAAGGTCAGGGATTTTAAAGGTAGATGAGAAAGGCAGATGAGAAACAATATTCAGAAGCATTGTTTTGTCCTCCATGGAACTTTCTCTAAGCTACTAGAGCACCTGAGCCCCATTGGAATAGGGAATATGTCTCGGGGGGCCTCCCTCAAGGTCACATATCAATATCACCAGCCTTTCCCACCCATTCAGATAAGGAATCTCTCAACTCTTGCCTCCCAACCTGAGGTCCCCTCCCCTCTCAGAGTCCCATTGCCTAAGTATACCCCGCACCTGAGCAAGATCTGAGCTGGAGATCGGCCATACTTCTCAGCCAGTGCCAGGACCAGTGGTTCCTCAAGCAGGACAGGCTCATCAGGATGGCGCCAAACACGATCAGAGGAACCCAAAGGACTATAAGCAGTCACCTCCAGGCCACGTGAAAGGCAGTGGGCAATCAGTTCATTCTGAGCCAAGTATGGATGGCATTCCACCTGAGCCAAGGAACAATCCATCACCATGGGGTGGCCACACCACTGTGCCTGGCCCCTTCCAGACATGCAGGTCTGGACCAGCTCCCTACTACTCAGCCTACTGTTCTCACCATTTTCCACCAATGATCTCATTCTCAACTAGAGCTTTAATGCCTACCTAGCCCAGAGGACTTTTGAACCAACACTTCTGACAATCTGCCAGCCATCTCCATTAAGAAGACCCATCACCCCAGAACTGCAAAACAAAAGACCAATCACCTGCTCAATCAAGCTCTGCACACAGAATCTCCTGAATCACTAATCTGCTTGCAGTGCTCACCTGTAAGACAGCTGGGCGCACAGAGGCCACACTGAGTATATCATCAATCTGCCGACTGTTGAAGTTGGATAGGCCCAGAGCTCGTACCAGCCCCTTCGCCACCAGTGCCTCCATAGCCTTCCAGGTCTCCTTGTAGTGGATGGAGTCATAGCGGACAGTCCCATCAGCATTCTTGGGAAAGAGGTTGTCACCCCGTCTAAGTGAGAGACAAACCCTCAAGTGTGGGTACAAATGCCAAGCTTTTGCCCTGGCTACCCATCCAGCCCATCTACATCCCATACCCCTAGCCCAGAGAGGGCAGAGTGCCAAGAATTAGGAATAGCAAGGCTTCTTCACCCTTCCAGATCATGACCCAGGTGTTAAGTCTATATGGAAGGCCCATGCCCCTCCCTCTTTTTCCTAGTCCCAAATTATATTTTCTGTCCTCTGAGAAGTCTTCTTTAATTCCTTCCTCCTCAGAGGGTTCTCTGCCCTAGCACAGGGCACAATGCTGATGGGAGACTCTTCTCACACCTAGTGCTAGACTTTCTCAGTAGAAGGGTCAGCACATTTCTGAATGAATAATGAGGCAGGAGGAACCACTCACGGTACTCCCAGAATACACACAAGTGTGTTCTCCTTTTCCTGTAGCTAAACTCCCAGCTACTATACTAGAAAAGGCTAGGATTCCACATAATGCTACACAGTTTGCCAGGCACAGTGGTGCACACCTGTAATCCCAGCAACTCAGGAAACTAAGGTAGATGGATTCCAAATTCGAGACGAGCCTCAGCATCTTAGTGAGGCCCTAAGCAACTTCAAAGACCCTGTCTCAAAATAAAAAATAAAAAGGAATTGGAGATGTGCTCAGTGGTTAAGCTCTCCTGGTACCAAAAAAGAAAAGGAAAGGGAAAAAAGCTCTTCAACTTGCCATGCTCAGTGTTTCCAACCTGCTCTGCTACTGCGACTTACAACAGATTACTGACACTACCATAACCAACCCCCAACTTCCAGATGAAGAGTCTGGTAAGGCTCACTCACTCAAAGGCATGAGGCCAGTGCATCAGGTACAGGTCCAGATACTCCAGCTGAAGGTCAGCCAGTGTCTTCCGGAGGGCAGGCTCCACATCATCAGGGTGATGCTTGGTGTTCCACAGCTTGGATGTCACAAATAGCTCCTCCCGGAGCACTGCCTGGTCCGGAGGCAGAGTCCATAGTGAAAAAAATCCTAGGCATTTTCACCCACCCTTACCTTTAGGGAAAGAACTAGAAGGAAGCTGATGTTCTCAGGCTGGCTGCAGCTCCAAATTCAGCCTCTGAGTTTTCCCACCCCCCCCTCTTGGTAGCCCTAGTCCTCACCTTGCCTGGTCCCACGTCCTCCTTCAGGGCCTCCCCAATCTCAGTCTCGTTGCCATAGACAGCAGCACAGTCAATGTGGCGGTAGCCTACACTAAGGGCATATTTAACGGCTGCTTTTACCTGCCAAGTGAAAGGAATAGAGGTTTCAACTCTGTTGGTCTGGCCAACAAAGGGTCACTGACAGGAAGTAGGAATATACAAAGACCATTCATGAAGCAGGAATGAGAAGAAAGATGATACTAATGTAGAGAACCAGAAGCTTATTCAGAGGTCCCAAACTCTTTGTCCTACTTCAATCCTGCCAGTCTCCGAGGTTCCTTCCTACTCAGCAAGGACCAGCCAAAAACCAAACAAGAAGTTCCTAGCATCTAACATAATGAAGACTTTAGTAGCCAGACGCAGTGACACACACCTGTAATCCCAGTGGTTTGGGAGGCTTAAGCTCTAAGCAACTCAGAAAGACCCTATCTCTAAATAAAATATAAAAAAAGGGCTGGGGATATGGCTCAGTGTTTAAGTGCCCCTGGGTTTCAATCCCCAGTACAAAAAAAAAAAAACTTTAGTAAAATATTTTTTTAATCAGAAGATATGTAGGCAGAGGACAGATAGAGACACCATAGAGAAAAGTTCCTAATACTAAAAAGCTAGTAAGCAAGACATGATATAATAAAAAAAATTCCTAGGCCAAGGCCACACAGGGATAGACCATCAGGGAATCACATAGACAGAACCACAGCCTAACTCTGGGAGCTCAGGCCATCAAAAAAGGTAAGGGGTGGGGGTATTAAGGAAGGCAGAAAAGTAAGATAGAAGCTGGGCCCAGAGCACCCTGATGGGAGAGAAAAGAAATCAGGCATCAAGCAAGAAGATGAGTCAGTCAATCTGCTAAACACCAGACTAAGAAATGCAGCATCAGGGCCAGGGTTGTGGCTCAGTGGTAGAGTGCTTGCCTAACATGCGTGAGGCACTGGGTTTGATCCCCGGCACCACATAAAAATAAACAAATAAAATAAAGGTACTGTGTCCATCTATAACTAAAAAAAAGAAAAAGAAATGTGGCAACAGATGCAGAAACAAGAATAACAGGCCCTTGCCACAAAGCACTCAAAGCTCTTGCTGTGGGTTCCTGGCATGGCATTCAAGATTTCTATCTGGGTATAGCTCTTCCTACTCAGATGTACTTACCTTAATCCGGACCAGATCCCTGGTGCTCCATGCTCCTACCTGGCCCTGGCTCTAGATTTCACCCTTTCCCTTAACCCAGCTCCTTATCCCTAGGCTGTGTCAAATGCTGGTCTGGAGCACAGGGACTCTGGCTTCAGGGTCCTAGGTAGGCTATGGGATAGAAAGCAAAGGAAAAAGGCAGAGGTCATTCAACCACACCACAAACACAAGCCTATATTCCAGTCAGCAGAGGCTGTTCTTCCAAACTTAATCCCCACACCTGTCTTAACTTGCACTCAGATTTCTAAAAGATAAGGAAGGCTCCCTGGAGAAATGCCACCTCCTTGCCCCATGGGACTGAATCTCATAGAGATGTCAACCCTAAGAAAGCAGGTATCAATTTCTAGTTTCCCCTTGACTGGGAGGGTCTATACAAGAGGTCAGTAAACTATCAATATTTTTCAAGCAGTCCTGGAGCTAGTCAAGAATGGCTATTTTTTATCTATCTATGTATCTACCTAGCTAGCTATACCTTTTTTCTTTTTTGAGATGGGATCTCGCTGTGTTGCCCAGGTTGGCCTTAAACTCATGATCCTTCTGTCTCAGAGTCCCAAACAGCTGGCACTGCAGGCATGTACCACCGTGCCTGACTAAAGCTTTTACATTTTTAAATAGTTAGCTATTAAATGGTTATATAAGAATATAATCACCTTCATTTTGAATCTTGCTCAGCAAAATCTACAATATTAACCATTTGGTTCATTAGGAAAAAGTTTGCTGATCCTTGTTCTACACAGTTGACCCAGTAATTATTCTTTAAACCTTGACACTTGCTGTGTGTCCAACTCTGGACTGTATGCTAGGGTAGGGCCCAGCCTTTAAGGAAAAGAAGAGGAGAGGATAGGCGACATGGTAACAGCATAAGGTATTAGGAGACATATTAGAACTCATAGCACAGGGCTGGACACAGAGAGGCTACATTTCTCTCATAGCATTCAGTGCAGATGCAGTTAGATAAAAGCGTGCTTCCTATGCCCTTGGTCCTGCTGGGCCCATCAGTCTCTCCTCTGAGTCAGCTCTGAAAACCAAGGACTCAGTGTTGTCCCTTTCCCCCTCATCTCTTCTGAATGCCCTCTAGGCTTATCCTCACCAGAAATACAGAGATAGGACTGCTAGAAAAATGAAGGAATCCTCTCCCAAATCCCACTTTTTCCCCCAGCAGAAACTCAACAACTCTCTCTCCTTTTTCCCCCATCTCTCACCTGGCCGGGATCACTCTTCCATGTGCCTAGACCAATCAGGGGCATCTTCTGCCCAGTGTGCAGGAGGACAAAGGGAGCTGCCATTGCCCCCTGAAACAAAGATAGGAAGAGAACGATGAGTGAGTTAGCACTATTGTTTGGGCATCAGCCATCCACTGGTTAAGAACCCTGCAAAACATGGGTCAGGAGGTGAAGGAGGGGGACAGGTGTGGGGAACAAACATATGCTTGTGGCAGTGCACACAGAGGCAGTGGAGACAGTGTACAAAACTAACCAAAGTCAGTATCTCCTACATAAACACTAACCAGATCACCACTTGGTTATCCTTCCTTGAACTAGGTATTAGGAGACATATTAGGACTATGTTGGCCATGTTACAACTAACATAAAAGGTCTATGTTAAAGAGCTCCAAGTAGGGGCTGGGGATGTGGCTCAAGCGGTAGCGCGCTCGCCTGGCATGCGTGCGGCCCGGGTTCGATCCTCAGCACCACATACAAACAAAGATGTTGTGTCTGCCGAAAAACTAAAAATAAATAAATAAATAAATATTTTTTTAAAAAAAAAAAAGAGCTCCAAGTAGGTGCGATGTAAGGCTGGAGGATCACGAGTTCAAAGCCAGCCTCAGCAATAGCAAGGCACTAAGTAGACCTTGTCTACGAGACCCTGTCTCTAAATAAATACAAAATAGGGCCAGGGATGTGGCTCAGTGGTTGAATGCCCCTGAATTCAATCAGTACCACCAGTACCAAAAAAAAAAAGAGCTCCAATATCTGGGGTCAGGGTAGAGCATTTGCCTAGTATGCACAAGACCATGGGTTCAATCCCCAGCACCACAAAAACAAAAACAAAACAGAGATCCAGGGCTGGGGATGTGGCTCAAGCGGTAGCGCGCTCGCCTAGCATGCGTGCGGCCCAGGTTCGATCCTTAGCACCACATACAAAAACAAAGATGTTGTGATGGCTGAAAACTAAAAAATAAATATTAAAAAATTCTCTCTCTCTCTCTCTTAAAAAAAAAAAAAAGCAGAGATCCAATTCCTAAAAAGAAGCCATGGTGGCTCTCCACAAGCACCAGCCTTGACTAAATAAATCTTAAGCCAGTGTAAAACAAGCAAAAGCAGCCAGGTGTGGTTGTGCACACCTGTAATCCCAGGGATTGGGAAGCTGAGGTAGAGGATCCTACAAGGAAAATATACCATTTACCACTTTTTGGATGAGAAAATAGGCTAAGAGAGGTGAGGTTATTTGCCCCAAATTAACAGAAGTAGTAAAACCAAGGATCAAAGGAAGAGCTAATGGAAAGAGAAGGTAAACAAAGACCTGTAAAAATATATGCCTCACAAAAGACATGTGTATGGTGTGCTATAGAAAAGGAAATGAATTCCATACAGCAAGGACCAAAGAATACTGACACTGACTTCTAAGAATGTGATGGGGGGGGCTGGGGTTATGGCTCAGCAGTAGAGCGCTTGCCTAGCACGTGTGAGGCCCTGGGTTGGTCCCCAGCACTACATAAAAATAAATAAAATAAAGGTATTGTGTTCAACTAAAAAATATTTACTTAAAAAAAAGAATGTGATGGGGGCTGGGGTTGTGACTCAATGGCAAAGTGCTTGCCTAACACATGTGAGGCACTGGGTTCAATCCTCAGCACCACATAAAAGAATAAAGAAATAAAATTTAAAAAAAAAAAGAATATATTTCAGGCACAGTGGCACACACCTGTAATCCCAGCATCTTAGGAGGCTGAGGCAGGAGGATCACAAATTCAAAGCCAGACTCAGCAACTTAGCAAGGCCCTGTCTCTAAATAAAATATAAAAAAGCACTGGGGATGCTGGGGTTGTGGCTCAGTGGTAGAGCGCTCGCCTAGTATGCATGAGGCACTGGGTTCGATCCTCAGCACCACATAAATGTAGAATAAAGATATTGTGCCCACCTAAAAATAAATAAATAAATAGATAGGTAGACAGATAAAAAGCACTGGGGATGTGGCTCAGTGCTTAAGTGCCCCTGGGTTCAATCCCTGGTTCCAAAAAAAAAAAAAAGATATGTTGGACTTTCAAGAGTCAAGAGGGAATAGTCTTTCCAAAAAGGTCAAACTGGACCAATGACTTCAATACAGCAGAAAAGAAGTGAACTGGAAATCTAAGAAAACTTCCAATTGGTCAGGCACAATACTGCACACCTATACTCCCAACTACTTGGGAGGCTGAGGCAGGATGATTACAAATTGGAGGTCAGCCTGGGCACTGTAGCAAAACCCAATGATAGAGCACTTGCCAAGCACTCACAAGACCTTGGGTTCAAACCCAGCATCAAAAAAAAACCTAACCTCATAAAACAAGTAGTTGGAGCATCTTCCTTTAGAAAGCTATGAAAATTAGCCGAATGTTCCAAGAATACTCAGTCAGAAATATTGAAAGTTCCAGGACTTGAGACACATTTAAATAGGTCCCCTGCCTACCTTCTGTTTATGGTTTGGTGGGAGGAACACATAATATCAGTTTGACAGGTTAAGAGCTTTTTTTTTTTTTTTTTTTTTGGTACTGGGATTGAACCTAGAGGTACCCAACCACTGAGCCACATCCCCAGCCCTATTTTGTATTTTAATTAGAGACAGGGTCTCACTGAGTTGCTTAATGCCTAGCTTTGAACTCGTGATCCTCCTGCCTCAGCCTCCAGAGCCGCTGGGATTATATGCATGTGCCATTGTACTGGACTGACATATTAAAAGCTTTGACCAAAATCTGCACACAGGTCACAGAAGGACTATAGGAAAGGGTAAACTCATTTAAAATGGCTTCTTGAACATGATACCTTTATCAGTTCTTTTAAAAAGCAGGGCAGCTGGGCACTATGTAATCCCAGCAACTAATTTGAGAGGCTGAGGCAAGAGGATTGCTAATTTGAGGCTAATTTGAGCAATTTAATAAGATCCTGTCTGAAAAAGTAAAAAGGGCTAAGAATATGGTTTGTAATAGCACACCCCTGGGTTCAATTCTGGTATCACCAAAAAAAAAAAAAAAAGAATGAACAGCTAGGTATGATATCTCATGCCTGCAATCCTAGAACCTCTGAAGGCTGAGACAGGAGAATCACAAGTTGAAGGCCAGCCTTAGCAACTTAGTGGGGTCCACTTAGAAATTTAGCAAGACCCGAGACCCTATCTCAAAATAAAAACCTGGGGATGCAACTCAGTGGTAAAGTATCCCTGGGTTCTATCCCCAGTACAGGAAAAAAAAAAAAAAAAGGAGTTATTCAAGTGAAAGACAAAGGAAAGAGAATATTCACCCCAGGAATCAATTAGTAGAAATAACCTTTCCCCTTTATCATATCAGTATCATAAATTTCACCCTCCTGGGGTTGATTTCATTACCAATAATACCTTTGTAAATATGACCTTTGCTTCCAAGTTTTTTTTAATATTTATTTTTTAGGTGTAGATGGACACAACATAATACCTTTATTTTTTTTGTGGTGCTGAGGATTGAACCCGGGTCCTGCCTGTGCTAGGTGAACGCTCTACCACTGAGCCACAGTCTCAGCCAGTATTTCCAAGTTTTTAAAGACAGATAGTAGAACAGGTGATAACAAGTTGTGAATAAAAATTGTCTTTCCTAATACTTTAAAAAAAATTTTATACCTTTATTTATTTTTATGTGGTGCTGAGGATCAAGCCCAGTGTCTCACACATGCTAGTCAAACGCTCTACCACTGAGCTACAACCCCAGTCCCAGTCCCCCTAATACTTTTTTTTAATATTTACTTTTTAATTTTTTTAGGTGGACACAATATCTTTATTATATTTTTATGTGGTGCTGAGGATCGAACCCAGTGCCTCAGGCATGCGAGGCAAGTGACCTACCACTTGAGCCACACCTCCAACCCCTCCCTAATACTTTTTTTTCCTTTTTTTGTACCAGGGATTGAACACAGGGCATTTAACTACTGAGTCATATCCCCAACCCTTTTAATTTTTTATTTTGAGACAGGGTCTTGCTAAGTTGATGAGACCAGCTCTGAACTTGTGATCCTCTTTACTTAGCCTCCCAAGCCACTGGGATTGTAAGGGTAAAAGAAATTGAAGTTAAAGCGTAAAAGTTAAAGGGTAAAAGACCAGGTGTTGTAAAAGTTTCTAAGCTGCAAGGTCTGAGTTAAAATGTAAAGGAGGTATTGTTAGGTTTCTATGCTACCTGCAAAACCTGAAATTTCTGTAGCTGTTAAGACAATGCTTAGAACAGCCCAGTAAACATTTCCCCAGATTGTCTGGTTGTTTAATAACTGAAGGGGTCTGTGTGGTTGCACGCAGGCCTTGCAGGGCCTGAACCAATCAGTTTGAATGTGTACTCTCCTTAGGAATGACCTATCACTCCAGCCTGACCTGTTCCCGCCAATGAATGAACTAATCATGTTTAGGAGTTGTTCAATTTTCCCGCGCCTCGTGATGATTTGTTCTGATGTATACAAAGCCCTCCGCCCTCCCCAAAAAGTGTACTTAAGCAGTGCTCAGCCCCTGCTCGGGGCTCTGGGCTGCTTTCCCTTCTTGAGTGGGCATGGAGCCCCAGCATGCTGGTTCAATAAATCCCCTTCTGCCAATTGCATGAGTGGTCACTTGGTGGTCTCTTTCTCCGACGTTTCGCAGGACCCTTATAGGATTATAGGCATGTGTCACCACGCCCAGCCTTTCCTGCTACTTCTGACCCAGGAAGAATTTTATAGACTGGCCTAACCTGGAAATGGAAATCTTCCCTTTCTGCACAGCAAACCAGGCTGCTGAAGGAAATAATATTTGTAACCAGAACTTATCAGAGACACAAACTTCGCAGCAATCGAGCAAACAGCCTGGACTCCACAGGAGGAATCTGGTGCCAGACTGCCACCAGAGTCTATGTCTGGATTCCTGGGCTTGATGTTCAAACAATAACGTGTTTGCCTCTTCCAGATATCCCAGTACATAAGAGGGCTCTGAAATTATATCTAGGTAGAAGCTTGAACAAAAGCCTGGCCAATCTGGAAAAGGAAAAAGAAACCTGAACCTTCTCCCTTTCTTTTGTAAATGAAACTGAAAACCTAAAGGACTGGAGTAT